AATCACTTGAACACACATTACTTATTACTAAATTACGATATAGATACAAAATTTTACTGAAATATAGTTTTTATGTACAGAAATTTTGCTTAAAGAATTTTTACGATCGGTCTATATTTGGTCATATCTCTCATACTAGGTCCTGCCCCTAAAAGCGCTTTAACCGTATTTAACTATTTGCATTATCAATTTGTGTAGAACAAAATTATATATATGTATGTATTTTGAAAATCCTTAAATCTTTCACACACATGCATACATGCAAATACTAAATATCGCTAAAGCATATCTTATGGCGCTATAAAAATTTAAAAGAAAGTGGCGTTTCTAATGTTCAATAAATCGTGGAATTGTAGTAGATTTAAGCTGTTTAAATCTTGGGATTTTTCTATTTAAGACATGAGAAAACTTATTTCTACAAATATTTTATTAATTAATACAAAAGTTGCTGGTGGAGGGTATTTAAGATTCGGCTCAGCCGAATATAGCACTCTAACTTGTTGTAAATAAAACAGACGGCCATTTCTCTCATAAGTAACTAACTTCTTGATTTTGAACATTTTAGATGTTAGTACATTATATAACGTATGTACATTTATACGTACATATATTTGTTGTTGTTATTACCTCAACTTATGTATGTATATAAAAAGCCGTTCCCTTATATGTCAGTTAATAACTTGGTATTTATGTGCTTTTTCTCTCTAAAGTCCCATATTTGTAAGAAAACCAGTTTGTCCACCACTCTTGCCAACTTTGCTTAAACAAAAATTATTATAACGTTTGTCCACCGTTTAGTTGTTTTGTTTTGATTTTTATTTTCTTTGAATATTTTTTGTCTTCCGTTCTTTGTGCATGTGTATGTGCTACTCCAAAAGGGGGAGTAGTGTTGGGGAATATATATTCCTCTGAGAGTCTTCTCACACAAATTAACAGTTTGTTATTGTTACGACTAGATGTGTCAATAACATGTAAATGTTGTATCGAGATTTATTCAGTGGAAATAAATGTTTGCTATCAACAATCATAAGTATTCAGTCCATAATTACGGTAATATATAGATGATAGAGAATGATGATGTTTGCGACCGGTGATAAATGTTGGAAATTAGTTATTAGCAGGTTATTTAAGAAAAATAATTGAGAATTTAAATTATTCGTATCATTTTAGTCATATTACATCTGAATATCGCATACGTGATCGAATGCTCTTTCGCATAAAAATACATTTCGATATCGAAATTAAGCTAAAATGTAATAGATATCTTGTTCGTTATCGAACATTATCGATAATCTACTACATCTAAAAATTAAAATTACGATCAATTTTACTCGATCGCTTATTAGGTATTCAAGACTAGATCTTTCTTCAAGGTCGAACGATTTAACAACAACGTTTAAATTCATGCATGTCTATGCACCATCATTACAAATTGTCGCGATTCCGCGAATGATATTCAAACTATCAAACGTATTAGGTCAATTCAGTATTACTGATCGATATGATACCTGATATAACCTACAATTCAAACAAACTGCCCCCGCGGGTCATATTTCCTTGATGAATATAGCCATCTTGGTGTATTGCAATCCTGGGTTAAAGAGGTGCTACCAGTACCTCTAGTCTGTCAGGACTATAAACTGGTGATGATCAAATGTGTTCTCGGCCTTACCTTGGAATAATTTGACGTGGAGTCGAACCAGAGCACCACATAATCGAGTTGGCTTATTGCCCGCAGGACTTTGTCCTGGCTGGTCAGTTGGTTGAGGTTCCTTCGGCATCCACGTAGTGGCTGTTGTTTAAACCAAAATTCGCGAGAAGGGGTGCTTGGTTAAAAGATACACGATAAAATATGAATTTTTCTGGATAAATTTCTAGGAAAATCTACTTTGCGAAGGTGTTATCGTCCGATATTTTCAGTTTCCTGTACGTATTTAGTTCTTTAAAATATGTTAATCAATGTTCGTGAAGTATGTATATTATATCTGGAATAACGTTGCGGTTATTTCGACGAAAGCCTGACAATGGCAATGAAAGTTTTCCAGAATTTTACTGTGTTCTCCACATGCTATATATTCGTCTGAATCTGTACTTCCATTATTGTGTAGTTGTGATCGTATAGGAATACGTACCATAATACTAACCTCAGACTTGCTTACTCTGAGGAAGCTTCTCGTCCTTCTTCACTGTTTTAATATTCAGCTCTTGATGAGTCAAATGTTTTGCATTCATTAGGTTAACTTCTTCCAGTTCTATTACCTCTAGAAGATTATACCTTGAAGGCTATTTTGCAGTCTAATACGGTCTTTGGTTGAACCTTATCAATTAATCACCTACTCGAGCAATTTATAGACTACTTTTTGATTTTGATAGCGCACATAATGATGGTAATTGATTTGTTGTTTGGAAATATGGATGACATTGGTTCAGCCGAGATTGATTTCAACACGATGTCGCTATATACCATATAGTGACCGCAACCATCGATTTATTGAGAGTATCAATTGTCCTCTAAGAATCTGCGATTTTGGATTTATATTGAAGCATATTGAACTATTGAGAAAGGTTTTTGTTCTGATATTTTAAAAAGAAGGGTTTCTGAAATAAGTTTGGAACTTAGAAGTACTTTATTAACAGTTCTTTGCGGGACAATGCTTTAGTTAAATTCCATACAGGTTAGTTGCATTCCGTACAGGTTCTCTATGATGGATATGGTGTGATTAGCAGCAGCTAATAATAGATAAAACCTTTTCGGTTCCACCAAATACAGAGCATTACCGTAGCGCCTTGGATATTTAGCTTTGGTTTGTTTTCCCGACTTCGCATGTGATCTCTTACGCTTCGGGTTATCGTAATTAATCAATTTTTCATCGCAAGTTATGATTCGGTGCAAAAATTATATCTAAGCCGCATTTCGGGAATGTAAACTAGTCTTTCAAGGTCTCACGGCTTCTATTAGTAGTTTTCCTGTCTTTGAATGAATCCTTCTGCTCGCAAACATTTGAAATTGTTGCCATTTTGTTCACGCAAAGAAATAGTACGAAATTTTGATTCCACGTAAAACTTCTTTGAGAAGCGCTTCCAATGACGTATCATAATTTTTGTGCTAGTTAAAAAAGGACCTTTTTAACCTTTGATCCAGCTCACCAAATACTGTTGTCAGGAAAAACACTAAGAGAAATGGTTTCTTATGATTGATACCACAGCACTGTTCTTATATTAAACAACAACCACTTGGTAACCCTTAGAATGTACTAAAGTTTCATTTTCAGCGGGAAGATCAGCATCTTTCATTTTGGTGCCGCCTTAATATTCATATTTTTGTACTGTTGTCAGGAAAAACACTAAGAGAAATGGTATCTTATCAAAGATACCATAATACTGTTCTTATATAAAACAACAACCACTTGGCAACCCTTAGAATGTACTAAATTTTCATTTTCGGCGAGAAGTTCAGCATCTTACATTTTGGGGCCGCCCTAATATTCATATTTTTGTAACCGTAAGCAATACAATTGGTAAATATTTACATTAATGTGACAATTGACTTCCGGCTATGTTACTGGAGGCACTAAAGAGACAATTGGATTAATACTATCTAAAAAAGGATACATTGAAAAATTGCTGGGAGGCTTTATGATAGAAAACAGCCGGCAGTAAATACGTATCAACGAAAGTTAGGTTATTGTTCAAGACTATTGGATTTTGTCCAACGTAATTAGACATGCCACGAAAAGAATGCAGTAGCATTTTTGCAGAGCCATCTATTAACAAATTGTTTTCATGAGAATAAACGTTTAGCACAATTAATTTAAATAATCAAGATAAAAATTTTATTTTGTCTCTCTTATATTATTAATACTGCATGTATGAACTCTTAAATAACAGAACATTTAATGCAAGTCACCTAGGCATTTCCTCCGTTTAGTTAATTTATCACTTCATTATGTTTTATACCCTACACCACTTTAGTGGGGAGGGTATATTGGATTTGTGCTGATGTTTGTAACGCACAATAATATTGGTCCTATACCCACCTTAAAGTATACCAATCGGCTTAGAATCATTTTCTGAGTCGATTTAGCTATGTCCGTCCGTCTGTCCGTCCGTCCGTCTGTCTGTCCGTCCATGTAAACCTTGTAATCAAACTACAGGTAGCAATTTTGAAGATAATTCAATGAAATTTGGCACATGATCTTCTATTGGCCCAGGGACGAAGCCTATTGAAAATGGTTAATATTGGTCCATTATTTCACCTAGCCCCCATACAACTGAGCCCCCGAATAGGGCTTGTAAACCTTGTAATCAAACTACAGGTCTCAATTTTGAAGATAATTCAATGAAATTTGGCACATGATCTTCTATTGTCCCAGAGACGAAGCCTATTGAAAATGGTTAACATCGGTCCATTTTCTCATCTAGCCCCCATACAACTGAACCCCCGAATAGGGCTTGTAAACCTTGTAATCAAACTACAGGTCGCAATTTTGAAGATAATTCAATGAAATTTGGCACATGATCTTCTATGGTACCGGAGACGAAGCTTATTGAAAATGGTTAACATCGGTCCATTATTTCACCTAGACCCCATACAACTGAAAACGACGAATAGGGATTTTAATTTTATAATTATGTTTAATATACTCGTATCTCGACAAAAAGCTGCAAAACCAAGTTCTATACTAGCCTTGATGACTCGCATGAATTTTGTAATTATAGGGTCTCATTTGACCATAGCCCCTATACAAATTCCCCTTCAAAATTTGACTTAAATGTCCACAACTTTATTCAACAATAAATGGCTTAAGTATATGTATCTGACATAAGTCAACTTAAATGCTTTATTATGAAAACTAAATCACATTTTATTTTTGTAACAGGTGTAGGGTATTATATGGTCGGCCTCGCCCGACTATAATTTCTTACTTGTTGAAATTTATTTTATTTCTTTTTAAACATTTACATTCATTTCCTTTCTCTCATTACCATTGCAGGTCCACACAATAATTCTCAAAACAATGAAAATGCGATAGAATTCCCACATTCCCACTACGACTAGAATTTCGAATACAATCACTTTACCACTTTATAGTACATAATACTTTCACAACATAAATTATGGCCAAAATGACTGAATTAATTGTAACAACTATGGCAACATCATCAGCAGCAACAACAACAATAACAACACAAAATACTCCTACAAGATTAGAGAAACGAAAAAAGAAAATTAAATATCGTGACAAAATGAAATTTATAAACGCCATAATACTAGGATTAATTGTTGTAGTTTTAATAAATGAATTAGAAGAAAAGTATGGCGGCAAAAGCAGAGGCGAAAGAGCATTGAGTAGTATGGGTGTAATGGCCCAAACACGAGATCCAAGATTTTATTCTAGAGTAGGCGTTAATGATTATCAATGGCCGAATCCAGGTGATCCAGATTATAGGTGAGTAAAGATCAATCAAGTAACATTAATCATCAACTTAATTATTTTAACTTTATTACTGTCTTGTTATTTTTTATAGAACTTATACATTTAATGATCGCCGTTATGGTCATTATCAACCGAATGGTTATGGCGCCAATTATCCCGGTAGAAATCCACCAGGTCAATATCCCCAAGGAATGCCAAACGAAGATCGTTTTCGTTTTGATCCAGTAAGTTAGAAATAGTAAAAGAATTTGAAAACGAAAAAAATATGTTTAATAGATTTTTATTAGTTTTTTTAATCTCAAATGTATAGACTGTCTGTCGTACATGCAATTATTGTCTTTATGAAGAGATGAACAATGAAATTGATTCTGTTTTCTTAAAAAGAATATCAACATCTAATGACATTATTAATTGTCCAGCATACATGTACAAATGGAGGGCACCAAATATCAAAATGTTAATTAAATTTGTAACGCATATGGTCATACATGATTTTTATATCTTTGAGTTGTTGTTTTAATTGTATTAATCAAACATGTCATTGCACAGTGGTTAGAAGAGAAAAATAATTAAATTATTATAATTTAACTTTTAACTACAATTAATTGTGTCAAAAGGGACATATTTCGTAATAATTTTGATATTTAACGGATAACTTGAAAGATATTAGCCTTAGAGGTGTAGAATCGTAAAGGGTGTTGACCTGTCTTTAAAGACGCCTGCAAGAAGAAGTCTAAAGGGGTCGCATCTCAGTTTTAAGCTGGCCAATTCACTATATTAGTCTTAAAATCCTTTCTGGATTATTCTAATATCGGTCTTTAAAGGCACCCGCAAAAAAAGTTTAAAGGGGTCAAATCTTAGCTTTGATTCAGCTTACTTTCTGTCAGATATTTCTGGATTATTGTCATAGCAAAAGTCCTTAAAATCACACTGCAAGAACATGTCTTATGATGCCAAATATTAGCTCCGAAATCACTCGGAAATCTTTGGATTTGTTGTAACATACTTCCTGCTATTAAAATAACTTACTAAAGAGTGTTGATCCTTTCTGGATTATTCGTCTAGCATCGATATTTAAACGCACTCTGCAAGAGAGAGTTCAAAGAGGATCAATTCTTAGTTTTGAACCGGCCAGTTGATGCCTTCTGGTTTATTAGCATTAGCAGAGGTCTTTAAAGGCACACTGCAAGAAAAAGTCTATAAGTTCAAACCTCAACTCCGATATCGTTAAGACGGCTAATAAAACGTTTACCAAACATTGTGTCGAAAAAATCTAAGTGCAATTCCATCCAATTGGTCCATGTAAGCAAATATTTTGAGATCTTTGTGAAATTTTTGTATCATGTTAGTGCGTGAAATGCCGATTTCTTTGGCGAATCAATATTTTTCTATAAGGTTGGGAAAGTTTCGACAAAGCTGCATATTCTTTTCAGTGGATTATTAGAATATTTCTACTAAATTGTGGCTAGAAGAGCTCTAAGGTTTCACTCCTAAGACAGTATGTCAGCTTGTGATAGGATCTCTAATTAAGGAAAATAATTTTTGGTACATTAATCGTGTGCAATCTGGATACTTTGCACTCTATATTGACGATTTCGAATTTTATGATAACGTTTTAGTTCTTATGATAGATCTTTAGTTCTTCTAATTCTTTAGATTGATTTGTCAGGTCATTCACCTTATCATTTTCAAAGCTATATCTGGGAAATTTGTTAATCACGTTCATGCAGCTTTAATAAGAACCAGATTTGATGTATTTGGATGATACTGATTATCATCTGTTTCATTTATGTGTATTCATACTTTAATACCCGGCCAAAGAATGACAGAGGCTAACAAATTTTAAACCCGAAAACCAAAGTATACGTTTCTAAAGGATTGAGCTCCGTTAAATCCAAATCTGTCCTTAGTCTCTGACAAGATTCAATAATATAACAAACTTTTCAAATAAATTCCAGAAACGGGGACTTTTTTAGGACACAATATCTTGAAAATGGAGTAATCTCGAAATTCGGATTCAGCGTTGCTTAATCCTTAAGGGTCTCGACATTTTTTAATTTTGTTGGCCTATGTGTATATGGTTTCATTTTGTACCATAGCCAGAATCATTTAAGAAGTTCTGAAACCTAAAGTCAATTGAGTCAGGGTTCCGTTTGATTGTTATCTAGTTTTAGCGGGATACAACTAACTGGAACATTTATCTCAGATACCTGGTTTGAGGTTTTCACGATGTCCTTATATGTCCAGTACATCGCTTACTAATCGCCAAACTGACTATTTTACGATCAAAACCAAAATTGCTGCAATATTGAAGTTTCCAGTTCAATCCATTCCGACATTGTTTGGAAGTGAAATACATTGAGGTCCGCTTCATACGCTAGGTACCAGTTCTAATTGTGATGTTATTTCCTTGTCCGTATATTCACTGGACTTTTATGAATATATAGACAGGTTTATAGTCTCTGGTCCAGGAAGACATGTAAATATTTTATTGGATCAGATATTTTAGCGCCCTATTCTCTTTCATTCTGAATAGAGAGTTTTCATTTGTGATTTGGGATAACAATAAAACCTCTGGGCGAGTCCACATAGCACTGTGTTTTGAGCCCTTTTAGGCCATCATTTGCAATTGTAATGGAAGAGTAGTATGTCTCGAATGTAAAAAGCTGAGCCGGTTCCCATTCGAGGTTTTTCTGAAACCCAACCATCATTTCAGAATATAGGTTACGACTTATAATTCATTCAAAATTGCATCCAATCTTACCACTGTTCCTCATTAGTCTGAGAAAAAAATAAAACATAAAAAATACTGTAATTATTACAACCTACGGCCTCAAAAGATTAAGTAAATACTCATATATGGTATTAAAGCTATACACATTAAGATGTTTGATCAATGATATCTCTCCCAACTAATTGAAAACATAACTTAAGCGAATAGTAAACAAAAATCAATTCCAAATGCTTTAAACATTTTACATTAAACTAAAAAGACTTAATAAAACCTACATTTTAAACTAATCTTTTACAGAACAATCCAAATGCAGGTCATACACCATTTCCGGGAATTTTAGCTGGTTGGCGAGAAGATCTACAAGGTAAACAGAGACGTGATTCCTTAACACTCGAACGTGATGTTTTTGTCACCACGAACTATGGTCAAGTGCAGGGCTTTAAAGTTTACATGTATGACAATCCCGATCCGAAATCCTTCTATCGACCCTATCATTCTACGGTGGATCGTGTAATGGGTGAATGTTCGGTATTTTTGGGTATACCCTATGCCTTGCCGCCTACATTTGAAGGACGCTTTAAGCCACCTAGATTGCATAGAGGTTGGCAGCTACTGCAGGCGGTAGATTTTGGCCCCGCCTGTCCACAGCCTGTGAGATATACAGGAGCGACCAAGGGCATTATGGACATGGATGAGGATTGCTTGTATTTGAATATATTTTCGCCAAATGTAAGTTGTTTTGCGGTTTAAACAAGTCTATGATGATCAATTTTCTATTTTTAGACGGGTGCTGGTATTGCTCAAAAATATCCGGTAATGGTATATATCCATGGTGGAGAATTTATACGAGGTGCCTCCAATCTATTTCAAGGCCATATATTAGCCTCATTCTATGGCGTGGTGGTAGTAACTTTAAATTATCGCTTAGGAGCTTTAGGTTTTCTCTCAACTGGTGATGAAAACTCTCCTGGTAATTATGGCATACTCGATCAGTCTATGGCTTTGAAATGGGTCTATGATAATATAGAATTTTTCAATGGTGATCGTGAATCGATAACATTATTTGGACCTGGAGCTGGTGCTGCTTCAGCGGGTTTACTTATGGTAGCTCCTCAAACTAGAAACATAGTGAAGAGAGTTATAGCTCAATCTGGTTCCGCTTTAGCCGATTGGGCTTTAATACAGGATAAATATCGTGCTCAAAATACCAGTCGTGTCTTGGGTCAACTTCTGGGTTGCTCTTTGGAATCTTCCTGGAAATTGGTAAATTGTTTGCGTACTGGCAGAAGTTTTTATGAGTTGGGAAATGCGGAATTTCCACCCGATGTTGGTACTTTTCCCTGGGGTCCCGTTTTGGATCATAATTTTACCGTACCAAGTGATGGTTGGTATGATGGCTGGCGTGAAAAAGATTGGCGTTTTCTTTCTGAAACCCCTCTCGAGTTATTGCGCCAGGGTAAATTCAATAGAGGTTTACAATACATGACGGGTGTTACGACACAAGAAGCAGCCTTCTTTTTATCACAAAATGAAAGTTTAGCTCCCTACTATGAAATTGATGGAAAATTCTTTGATCAAAAGATAAGGGAACATGTATTGCGTTACAATTACACTTTAAATCCCAATGGTATCTACGAAGCTATTAAGTATATGTACACTTACTGGCCAGATCCCAATAATAGTACAATAATACGTGAACAATATATAAATATGTTATCAGATCTATACTATCGCGCTCCGGTGGACCAAATAGTTAAGATTTTGTTGGAACAAAAAGTGCCCGTCTATATGTATGTGATGAATACCACCGTGGAAGCCTTAAATCTACCGCAATGGCGTAAATATCCCCATGAAATAGAGCATTATTTCCTAACAGGAGCTCCCTTCATGGATGTGGAATTCTTTCCGAAAAAGGCTCATTTAGAGAGAAATATGTGGACAGATAATGATCGTAATATGTCGCATTTCTTTCTGCAAACATTTTCAAATTTTGCTCGTTATGGGTAAGTTTCGATTTACGGGTGGTTTATTTTTTAGAATTGATTTAACAAATTATGTGTTTGTTTCTAGCAATCCTACTCCTCAACAAGTATTGGGTTTACATTTTGAACGTGCCTATCAGGGTGAACTGCGCTATTTGAATTTGAATACTACTTTCAATTCTTCAATTTTACTTAATTACCGACAAACAGAATGTGCCTTTTGGACTCAGTATTTACCCACAGTTATAGGTGTTCTAGTGCCCACCTATCCACCCACCACGGAATATTGGTGGGAACCTAAAGAACCCTTGCAGATTGCCTTTTGGAGCATGTCGGTGGCATGTTTGTTTTTAATTGTATTGGTGGTTATATGCTGCATAATGTGGAGAAATGCTAAGAGGTAAATGCAGAGTAATATACTCAATTCCAAGTTATATTTATTAAAATTATATTTTTTCAGACAATCCGACCGTTATTATGACGAAGATATTTTCATTAATCCCGACGGCACCGAATACGATCAACAATCTCGAGCTGCTGGTGTTGATAATAGTAATTTAGTTACAAATCATAATGTTATGCGTTCACGCGATAACATTTACGAATATCGAGACTCACCTTCAACGAAAACCTTGGCCAGCAAGGTCCTCACTGATACAACATCTATAAGATCACCCTCATCTTTAGCCATGACACAAAAGACTGGCAGTCAATCATCTCTTAAATCTGCCATATCATTAAAAGAAACAAATGGTGGTGGTACTCTCACCTACAATAGACCCTTACGTAGTGAAGCTAGTGCTCCTTCTGCCAGAATAATAACCAATGGTAATACTGCACCTGCTGCTCATACCAAATCAATAGAAGAGAAACGTCTCTTACAGCGAGAACCCATACCGCTGTCTTCAACTCCCGTACCATCAGAAATTTCATATACTAAACCTACAAAACCTATTTTACAAAGTCGTAGTGTTACACCCACTCCAAGTGCTCGCACCACCACAACTACTGCCACCATATCGAGTGGTTCGAGTGTGGTACAACCTTTACCGGTACCGGCACCTAAGCCTCAGACGCGTACACAAGTGATAGAGGGCATACCACAGACGTCCGTTTAAGAAACAGCTCTCTAAATGTTACAATATCGGAAGGAATAGAAAGTTTTTAGTTCTATTCCAGCTGCTATTGTTACATTTAGAGAGGTTTACCGGAGAATCGTCTAATCCTAAATACAACAATATTAAGGTAAATCACACTTATTAAAAAAACTGTTTTCGTATAGAAAAGTGTCTTGTTAAGACAGTTTTCGTATAGAAAAGTGTCTTGTTAAGACCAGTTTCCCTATAGAAAAGTGTGTTGTTAAGACAGTTTTCGTATAGAAAAGTGTCTTGTTAAGACAGTATTTTCGTATAGAAAAGTGTCTGTTAAGACAGTTTTCCCTATAGAAAAGTGTCTTGTAATGACAGTTTTTGTATAGAAAAGTGTCTTGTTAAGACAGTTTTCGTATAGAACAGTGTCTTGTTAGACAGTTTCGTATAGAAAAGTGTCTTGTTAAGACAGTTTTCGTATAGAAAAGTGTCTTGTTAAGACCGTTTTTCGTATAGAAAAGTGTCTTGTTATAGACAGTTTTCGTATAGAAAAGTGTTCCTTGTTAAGGACAGTTTTCGTATAGAAAAGTGTCTTGTAAGACAGTTTTCGTATAGAAAAGTGTCTTTGTTAAGACAGTTTTTCGTATAGAAAAGTGTCTGTTAAGACAGTTTTCGTATAGAAAAGTGTTTTGTTTAAGAAGCTTTCGATAGAAAGTGTCTGTTAAGACATTTTTCGTATAGAAAGTGTCTGTTATGACAGTTTCGTATAGAAAAGTGTCTAGTTAAGACAGTTTTCGTATAGAAAAGTGTCTTGTTAAGACAGTTTTTCGTATAGAAAAGTGTCTTGTTAAGACAGTTTTCGTTATAGAAAAGGTGTCTTGTTAAGACAGTTTTCGTATAGAAAAGTGTCTTGTTAAGACAGTTTTCGTATAGAAAAGTGTTCTTGTTAAGACAGTTTCGTATAGAATAAGTGTCTTGTTAAGACAGTTTTCGTATAGAAAAGTGTCTTGTTAAGACAGTTTTCGTCTAGAAAAGTGTCTTGTTAAGACAGTTTTCGTATAGAAAAGTGTCTTGTTAAGACAGTTTTCGTATAGAAAAGTGTCTTGTTAAGACAGTTTTCGTATAGAAAAGTGTCTTGTTAAGACAGTTTTCGTATAGAAAAGTGTCTTGTTAAGACAGTTTTCGTATAGAAAAGTGTCTTGTTAAGACAGTTTTCGTATAGAAAAGTGTCTTGTTAAGAACAGTTTTCGTATAGAAAAGTGTCTTGTTAAGACAGTTTTCGTATAGAAAAGTGTCTTGTTAAGACAGTTTTCGTATAGAAAAGTGTCTTGTTAAGACAGTTTTCGTATAGAAAAGTGTCTTGTTAAGACAGTTTTCGTATAGAAAAGTGTCTTGTTAAGACAGTTTTCGTATAGAAAAGTGTCTTGTTAAGACAGTTTTCGTATAGAAAAGTGTCTTGTTAGACAGTTTCGTATAGAAAGTGTCTTGTTAGACAGTTTTCGTATAGAAAAGTGTCTTGTTAAGACAGTTTTCGTATAGAAAAGTGTCTTGTTAAGACAGTTTTCGTATAGAAAAGTGTCTTGTTAAGACAGTTTCGTATAGAAAAGTGTCTTGTAGTTTACGTATAGACAAGTGTCTTGTTAAGAAGTTTGTATAGAAAAGTGTCTTGTTAAGACAGTTTTCGTATAGAACAGTGTCTTGTTAAGACGGTTTTCGTATAGAAAAGTGTCCTTGTTAAGACAGTTTTCGTATAAGAAAAGTGTCCTTGTTAAGGACCAGTTTATAGAAATAAGTGTCTGTATAGACAGTGTCGTATAGAAAAGGTTTGTAAGACAAGTTTTCGTATAGAAAAGTGTCCTTGTTAAGACAGTTTTCGTATAGAACAGTGTTCTTGTTTAAGACTAGTTTATCGTAGAGAAAAAGTGTCTGGTTAAGTACCGTTATCCTCTAGAAAAGTGTCTTGTTTAAGACAGTTTTCCGTATAGAAAAGTGTCTGTTAAGACAGTTTTCGTATAGAAAAGTGTCGTGTTAAGACAGTTGTCGTATAGAAAAGTGTCTTTTAAGGACAGTTTTCGTATAGAAAAGTGTCTTGTTAAGACAGTTTCGTATAGAAAAAGGTGATCTTGTTAAGACCGTTTTCCTATAGAAAGTGTTGTCTTGGTTAAGACAGTTGTCCGTATAGAAAAAGTGTGTCTTGTTAAGACAGTTTTCGTATAGAAAAGTGTTGGTCTTGTTTAAGACAGTTTTCAGTATAGAAAAGTTGTCTTGTTAAGACAGTTTTCGTTATGAAAAGTGTCTTGTTAAGACATTTCGATAGTAAAAGGGTCTTGTTAAGACAGTTTTTCGTATTAGAAAAGGGTCTTGTTAAGACAGTTTTCGTATAGAAAAGTGTCTTGTAAGGACAGTTTCGTATAGAAAAAGTGTCTTGTTAAGACAGTTTCGTATAGAAAAGTGTCTTGTTAAAACAGTTTTCGTTTAGAAAAGTGTCGTGTTAAGACAGTTTTCGTATAGAAAAGTGTCTTGTTAAAACAGTTTTCGTATAGAAAAGTGTCTTGTTAAGACAGTTTTCGTATAGAAAAGTGTCTTGTTAAGACAGTATTCGTTTAGAAAAGTGTCTTGTTAAGACAGTTTTCGTTTATAAAAGTGTTTGTTAAGACAGTTTCAGATAGAAAAGGGCCTTGTTAAGAAAGTTTTGGTAAGGAAAAGTGTGTTGTTAAGGCGAAATGCCTTTTTAGCTGAGTTTTTGTATAGAAGAGTGTCTTCTTCAGTTAGTATTGGAATGGAAAATCGTCATATTGTTGTATTTAAAAATTAGATTTGTAGTTAGTTTTCATGTAGATAAAATAATAACAGATTAACCTAACTTTTCATATTATTACTCTTCGCTTAATAAACTATTGATTAAATTATTATTAATTATACAAAGACTACAACTACGGAAAAGTTTATTGATCACAATGTGTCTTAATTAATACTAAAGGTTTTCTCATTTAAAACTAAAATTTATACATAATTATATAATAAATTATATTAAGAACTTAATTTTAATAAAACTTGTAAAATTTTTACATAAAATTGACATAAAAATGCAAAAAATAACAAATATTTGTATACATAACATTTTCATTAAAATAAGTATAATAAGGAGATTTACATACATTCTCAAAGTCTGTTAATTATTATGCTAGCGATATATAACAGTCGATAAGAGATCAAAGGCTAAACAGACTTTGAGAAAACTGTTCTTTGAATCCTTTATATGTAATGACAATATCTAAATTATTAACAATAAGTTTAGTTTATACAATACATTTTTAGATCTTTAAGATCTCAAATAATTTTATACTATTTTATTATATAATATTTAATATTACATTACTAAATTTAAGTAATAATAAGCGTAATAATATTAAAACAAATATCAACCCCACGAATACAATCCATATCAAAACATTCCACTTTTTATTTTAGTCTAAATTATATATTTTTAATTTTTATATATTTTTACGTTTTATTATTTAGTGTAAATAAACATTTCTAACAATTTTACTTAAAATAAATAATATTGTTTAATTAACCTTCAATAAGTTAAATTTTTAAGTTCTTTAATAAGTTTTTGTATATTTTTTTTAGAAACGATAATAATTTCCAAATTATTATCAAGGCATATCAGTGTAATCCGTCCAATTTTGTTTATAAACTGTATGTGTTTTTAGTAATAATTAATAATAATATTTCATTTATGTTCTGTAATTGTATATTGTCCATATTATTTTCATATTTAAATGTTTATGAATATAGTTTACAATATTTATTTTAATTATTGTTACTATCTACACATCTTATTATAAAGTTTATATAACAATTAGTATTTACATACTATATTTAAGTTTTAAATATTAATTTTTATACTTTTTTACGTTACTTCATTTCATATATTTTTTTATATTTTGTCTTAAATAAATCATCTTTGCCGTATATTTAATAATATTAATTTGTGTTGTCCTTTGTCTGAAATGTTCAAATGTGTTAATTTTTGTCAATTGTTGGTATTATGTCTAAAACATTAAATTTCATTACTACTTTAGGGAGATTAATCTATTCATGAAATTGAGAGGTAAGTCTTATAAACATATAATTTGGATAACAACGTGTTCTCTAAGATAGTTTCTAATAGAACACTGACTTAAGACAGTTTTCTAATCGAAAAATGTCTTCTTAAGCCAGTTTTCTTATATCCTTCCTGTATCCTTAAGAAAATTTTGTAATTAAAAAGTGTTTAACAATTTTCTAATAGGAAAGTCTTATATCAACGCAACTGATATCTCAGATTTCTTATATAAATGTTAACAGACAGTTTTCGTATAGAAACAGAGTCTTGTTAACAGTTTTCGTATAGAAAAGTGTCTTGTTAAGAAAGTTTTCGTATAGAAATAGAATCTTGTTAACAGACAGTTTTCGTATAGAAAAGTATCTTGTTAACAGACAATTTTCGTATAGAAAAGTGTCTTGTTAACAGACAGTTTTTGTATAGAAAAGAGTCTTGTTAACAGACAGTTTTCGTATAGAAAAGAGTCTTGTTAACAGAGAGTTTTTGTATAGAAAAGTGTCTTGTTAGCAGAAAGTTTTCGTATAGAAAAGTGTCTTGTTAAGACAGTTTTTGTATAGAAAAGTGTCTTGTTAAGACAGTTTTTGTATAGAAAAGTGTCTTGTTAAGACAGTTTTCGTATAGAAAAGTGTCTTGTTAAGACAGTTTTCGTATAGAAAAGTGTCTTGTTAAGACAGTTTTCGTATAGAAAAGTGTCTTGTTAAGACAGTTTTCGTATAGAAAAGTGTCTTGTTAAGACAGTTTTCGTATAGAAAAGTGTCTTGTTAAGACAGTTTTCGTATAGAAAAGTGTCTTGTTAAGACAGTTTTCGTATAGAAAAGTGTCTTATTAAGACAGTTTTCGTATAGAAAAGTGTCTTGTTAAGACAGTTTTCGTATAGAAAAGCGTGTTGTTAAGACAGTTTTCGTATAGAAAAGTGTCTTGTTAACAGACAGTTTTCGTATAGAAACAGAGTC